TTCTTGTAATAAAGAATTAAAGAATGTCTCCTGTCTTTTTTCACACTACAACCACAGCTTGTGGGGAACAGACCCTTGTCCCCATCAACATGGGGACAAGGTGCTTTGGGGGGGGCTCCGCCCCAAAGCACCCCCCCATGTTAAGGGCATGTGGCCTGGTATGGTTCAGGAGGGGGGGGGCGCTCGCTCCCCCCCTCCTTTCCTGACCTGCCAGGCTGCATGCTTGCATAAGGGTCTGGTATGGATTTTGGGGGGGGAACCCCACTCCATTTTTTTTTTAATTTTGGCGTGGGGCTTCCCCTCAAAATCCATTCCAGACCCAAAGAGCTTGGTATGGATGGGAAGGGGGACCCCACGCCATTTTTTAAATGATTTTTTAATTGCTGACAATTCTTTGTTTTACATTCAGCTGTCAGTGGGGAATCCCGCTGACAGCTGAAACATTGCTGCGTGGTTTTCACTACTAAAATACCGCATGACTTGATAAAATAACTCATGCAATATTTTAGCAGCCTTTTTTAGGGAATTTACTATTTTTCCGTGCATTCTGGGCATTTGGGAGGGTCTCCTGAGGTTATCTTTTAAAAACGCTTCTAAACGCAAATGTACATAAATGCGACTAAACGCAGTAGGTAAACACGGCTAAACTGATGTTTTAACCTACGTTTTCTAGCAGTTAGTTTGAGTGTAGCCACCCAGGGAGAGGAATTCACAGGATTACCATTTTAAAATAAAGGAAACAGTCCTGTAAAAAAGAAAACTAATACTGCCACCACATCTAAAGCCTAAACTGCAAAATATTACATTTTTGCTTCTGGGTTCAGGTATCCTTTAAGGTTCTCTAATAGTCATTTGATATTCAAGAGGACTTTGGCTGAGTAGTTATTAGCATATACAGTTTACATTCAGAACTAAAAACAATCTGTTAAAGAAAACCTGTGCTGGGAACAATATGGAGATTGCTGTTGTTAACCTCCTGGCTGTCACTAGCTTCACTATTTTCTGAGTCACTGATTTGTAACGAACATGCAAGCAGTGAAGTCAGAACTCCTGATCTGCATACTTGTTCCAGACCACTGGCTTAGAAATGATTGAAGACAATGAAGTTTTTTAAAGGAGCAGAGACCATTTACCTAGTAAAGTGAATATACTAACAAAAATCAATTTTTTGTTTATTGATATACATGATTAGTTATTTTTAATGAACCTATGTATGTTATTTACTAACATTCACTTTGCTAAGTGAACAGCTTCTGTTCTTTTAGTATACTAGGTCAGTACGTATGATTGGAAGATGCTGTAAGTAGCATTTTCCAGAGAGGTCCACAATTGAAGCCTCCATATTTCTATCCTCACAGGTTTACTTTAAAGTGATATTAAAGGCAATATTAGCATTTGATTGGCTATCACAGTGATCAATCACTGTGAAGCCCGCCCCCGTGTTTTTCTTTCTCTCTGAATGGAGAGAGAGATACATTGTATTTCTCTCTCTCCTCGCAGAGAGAAAAAAAAAGCAACAGTGTGTTAGAAAAAAGAAAGAAAGAAATATTAAAAAAAAAAAGAAAAAAATACCTAGATCAAGGTTTGATCTAGGTCAGGGGCAAAGGTCAGTATTTTAAAAAAATTTTAAAATTAGTATCAGTGTCAGTTAGTGTCAGTGTTGTAGGTGGGACAAGAAAAAAAAACAAAATGTGCACTATTGTTTCTGGGTTGTGCTATGGATACAAACAACAAATAACATACACATATGTGGTATCACTATGATTGTCAGGAGCTGAACAATTTATTTTGGGTTGTTCTTTGGTGGTAGGTTATGGTAGTAACAAGAAACACACAGCTACATTTAAAAAAAATATTTTTTTACTATTTGAGACCAGTTTTTCTTTGATAATGAAAAAAAAAATCAGAAGATATCAGTTACCGTTTACCTCCAAATGAAAGTCCAGTATGTCCTGAAAAAAACAAGGTATACAGTGCCTTAAAAAAGCATTCATACCCATTGACATTTTCCACATGTCATGTTACAACCAAAAACATAAATGTATTTTATTGGGATTTTATGTGATAGATCAACACGAAGTGGCACATAATTGTGAAGTGGAAGAAAACTGCTAAATGTTTTTCAAAATGTTTTGAAAATAAATATCTGAATCTGAAAAGTGTGCCATGGATTTGTATTCAGCCCCCTTTACTCTGATAATCCTAACTAAAATCTAGTGGAACCAATTGCCTTCAGAAGTCACCTAAGTAGTAAATAGAGTCCACCTGTGTGTAATTTAATCTCAGTATAAATACAGCTGTTCTGTGAAGCCCTCAGAGGTTTGTTAGAGAACATTAGTGAACAAACAGAATCATGAAGGCCAAGGAACACACCAGACAGGTCAGGTATAAAAATGTGGAGAAGTTTAAAGCAGGGTTAGGTTATAAAAAATATCCCAAACTTTGAACATCTCATGGAGCACTGTTCAATCCATCATCCAAAAATGGAAAGAGTATGGCACAACTGCAAACCTACCAAGACATGGTCGTCAACCTACACTGACATGTCGGGCAGAGAAGCAACCAAGAAGCCCATGGTCTATCACATAAAATCCCAATAAAATACATTTACATTTTTGGTTGTAACGTGACAAAATTTGGAAAATTTCAAAGGATATGAATACTTTTTCAAGGCACTATAATTCACCTGGATGTACAAAGTGAAGGCGTGAAGGAGTTAATTTATGTTTTTCAACTTTTTGAAGTGAGAAAGAGGAACACCTTGAAGTCCAAAGTATGTAGAAAAAGGACTCACCCTGCCGCATACAAAGTACAACGATTCAGAGGTTGAATGAAGTGCAGTATAACAATATTGGTAGGCGAATATATTTTTTTCTATAGCTGTATATACACTAGACCAATAGAGGAGGGAGGTAGGATTTAGTCCTGAAGGAGGGGTAGTTCCTCCAAACGAGAGAGAGTCGGGAGCTTTGATTAGGACCTGTGATGCATTTGGTTTCTTGATAAAAAGCATTGTTAACTTTTATTGATTAACACATTTAAAATTGTAATCCTTCAATAATACATAATCATCTTTTTCATCATCATAACCATAATTACTGATTATTTGTCTAGAATGATTAGTTGGTTTTATTATACTGTAGAAATAAGTATACACATTGGATAAGATAAACAAGGATAAGATAAACAATTTTCAGAATTACAGAAGCTTTTTATTTTAGGAACAGAACTACCCTTTCTCTTTGTGACTTCTAAACAGTTGTCATGTATCTCAGTGATATGGAGTATTAGATGGTCTTTATCTCACAAGTGTATATTCAGATTTCTGCTGAGATTCTTTGCAAGTCCCAAAATCATAAATATATTATTATATGTACCTGAATGAAAGGATAGAAAAAGACTGATAGCTCTTTGAAGATCTAGCTAGAGAGAATACAAGGTACCTCGTGGTATAGCTGAACATATGTTCTTTTGAAATCCAAACAGCATTTCACACTATGAAGTCCGGTTATTACTCACTTTGAGTTACTGATTATTTTGCTAACAGAAGAACTTGTTATTTGTTGGTAAATACAGTAGAGCTTGTTTTATAAAATATTTACAGGCTTAAAGCTGAGCTCTAGGATAATCTAGATACAAAAGCCATGTGTATACTTACTTAAATCTTGGTGTGCTTTGTGTATTTTTTCCAGATAAGTGTAATAATCAAACATGAAACCTTGCCTTTGTGCAGGAGCTTTCTGTAATTAAGACCAGTCAGTACTACTCTCTTGCCTTGTGCAAGATGACTGGTCTTGTCCCCGTCTTCTCCTAAAGTTTTCTACAGGCAGCCTACAGTGGGTGGGTCTGCTGGGTCCCTCCCTCAGCTCAGCTCTATGCACAAGTTATGTACAGCACGATGATGTCACTGCTTTTGTATGCTAATATCTTGGTCATTGGATGCACACAAAGTGTATATATACACTATATTGCCAAAGGTATTAGGACGCCTGCCTTTAAATGCACATGAACTTTAATGGCATCCCAGTCTTAGCCCGTAGGATTCAATATTGAGTTGGCCCACCCTTTGCAGCTATAACAGCTTCAACTCTTCTGGGAAGGCTTTCCACAAGGTTTGGGAGTTTCTATGGGAGTGTTTGACCATTCTTCCAGAAGCGCATTTGCTTGGTCAGGCACTGGTGTTGGACGAGAAGGCCTGGCTCACAGTCCTCGCTCTAATTTATCCCAAAGCTGTTCTATTGGGTTGAGGTCAGGACTCTGTGCAGGCCAGTCAAGTTCCTTCACCCCAAACCCGCTCATCTATGTCTTTATGGACCGTGCACTGGTGTGCAGTCATGTTGGAACAGGAAGGGGCCACCCCCAAACTGTTCCCACAAAGTTGGGAGCATGAAATTGTCCAAAATGTCTTGATATGCTGATGCCCTAAGTGTTCCCTTCACTGGAAGTAAGGGGCCAAGCCCAACCCCTGAAAAACAACCTTTACACCATAATCCCCCTCCACCAAACATTACACTTGGCACAAAGCAGTAAGGCAAGTACCATTCTCTTGGCAAGCGCCAAACCCAGACATGTCCATCAGATTGCCAGACAGAGAAGCATGATTTGTCACTCTGGAGAACACTTCTCCACTGCTCTAGAGTCCAATGGCGGCGTGATTTACACCACTACATCCAACGCTTTGCTTTGCACTTTGTGATGTAATTCTTGGATGCAGCTGCTTGGCCATGGAAACCCATTCCGTAAATCTCTTTACACACTGTTGTTGTGCTAATCTGAAGGCCACACAAAGTTTGGAGGTCTTTAGCTATTAACTCTGCAGACAGTTGGCGACTTCTGAGAACTGTGCGCTTCAGCATGCGCTGACCCCCGCTCTGTCATTTTATGTGGACGTGGCTGAGTTGTTGTTCCCAGTTGTTTCCACTTTGTTATAGTACCACTAACATTCTTTCACAAATATTTGTAGAAGCAGTCTGCATACCTAGGTGCTTGATTTTGTACACCTGTGGCCATGGAGGTGATTGGAACACCTGAATCCAATGATTTGAAGAGGTGTCCCAAAACGTTTGGCGATATAGTGTATCCTTTGTTGTTTTTTAGAAATATGCTTAAATGAAAGTTATCATGCCTGGAGTTGAGCTTTAAAGCATAATAAAATAATTGCTAGAGGGTAGAGGTTTTTTTGTACAAGAGAATTTGTATTTCTGTTCTGCTCAAAAAAACTAATTTACTGTACCTGCTGGCAAGCGATTATTTTTAAATTGTACACTGCCTGCTAAAAATAAAGGTCCTCCCTGTAAAGAAGTTAGTAAATACATATCTCTTTTGCTACCCTCACCACCAAACACTGCCCATTTTAGGAGAACTTGTGACCTAAAGTCTTTTGAGAAACCCACTGGTCCCCTTGGTGTGATCAAGAGATTCTCTTACCAAACCCTACAGTAACGTGACAGGAGTCAGCTGGAGGAACCAGTGGTTGCAGCAAGGACTAGAATTGCTTTAAAAATTGAAAAATGTAAAAGTGGAAAAAAAAGTCTCCTTTAGTATATTAAATGAAAGTGCTATTAAATTATATATTTTTTAGCTTTAAAATTAAGAAGATTTTACACTTTCCTGCTCTGTGCATATTGCACAGAGCTGTTCCTTTTCAACTCTTCTGGAGTTCCCCGCTGTTGCTGTTATCTCCTCCTTCCTGCGGGTGCTCCCTCATCAAGCAATGTGCTGAGGGGGCACCTATGCAGGTGCATTCCTGAGCCGGGGTATATAGCGCCACTTCTGTGGTCCCTACTGGTGCTCCTGACTCCTCCCCCCACTGAGTGCCCCCATTGAAAGCCACTTGCTATGGGGGCACTCGTGTGGGTTGGCCCCTTGACCCAGCTCCCCACTTCTTCCTCACTGCCTATGATTGACAGCAGCAGGAGTCAATGGCTCTCACTGCTGTCTCTGAGCCAATGAGGAGGGAGAAAGCCAATAGAGCCTCTGCTCTCGTGCACATCACTTGATCGCTGAGGGGGAGAGCTGCATGCAGAATGTTTTTTTACCTTAATGCATCGAATACATAAAAAACCTGCCTTTAGAACCACTTTAATGAATACCATGCATTAAGGTCAAAAACATTTTGATTGTTATAACCATTTTAAGTCTTTAAACGGATTTAGATATACCCATATTTATCGCAATATTATTATTCTCATTAAACTGCGAGGGGGAAGGGGGGTATGACTATAAGCTGCTGTGGCGGCCACCTTCATAGTGACCTTACTTTTCCCCGCATGGGCAAACCACAATTTAAAAAAAAAACCAAAACATAGATATCACAAATAAATAGATGAATGCCACTGTGATTAGCACTGGGGGGGAAAAAATAGTGAGATTTGTTAAGTAGATTACATAAGATAGTGACATGTAGACTGAGATTTAGCTGTGACCTGGAGCAATAAAGATGCTTTATAGTTCATTTAGTAAGAAGCACAGTTGGTTGATGTTTGGAAGAATCAATATATTACATTGTTCAGATAACTACAGGGTTGTAGGTCAAAGAGCAACCGAATGTATTGCCTCCAGTAGTTATATATGGGAAATTTTTGTCACTAAGTGTAGTGTAAAATAACACAACGGGAGGAAAGAAGAGAAGAAAAATGACACAGGCAGGTTTTAATAAATAGAAATGTCTTTATGTACTGTCTTTTATGTCTTTTTTCAATACATCTTCAGTGTGTATGCATATCTGTCGACTTCATTGGATAGAAATGTGCTATTCCTATGAATGTTAAACAGAAATTAAGCACATTTCAGTCAAACACCATTTACACTACAGACAGGAAGATAGATATATGGCCTTGAGCTGTTTTTACAGCATGTAGACAAATAATATATTAATTACTAGATGTAACGTGAGATAACATTGTAAATGCTTGTTTTATTTGTGTAATATATTGACAACGTTGCAGCATACAGAATAACGTAAGATGACAGATGGCCTACACTAGTGCTGGGTCTAAGGATACAATTTTGAAGCACTGGGCTATTTTGGTGCTGACCCATATCTTTCCATGGTGGCTCAGTCCCCATAGATGTCCTAAACATGTAACGAACTGAATGAAAACAAAATACAAAAACAACACTGACTATTTTTAATCCTTATGTTGCTAGAATTAGTAAATAGATAGGAAAGTATATTATATTTACTTGTTTTAAACTTTTTTTTACATTTCTTCAGTTACTTCCTGGTTTCCTTGCCTAGGCAAATGATGTCATACATCCCAGGAGTCTTCAGGAGGGAAGGAGGGGTTTTCTTAGCTAAGCACACCCTCTCGCTTGCATGCCTGAGCTATGGGCAGATGAATTCCAGGAAGTAATTGCTACATGAATCTTCTGCTTTTACTCAAGATAACCACTGCCAGAAATGCTAGGGGGTGTTTTTCACAATGATTTTTCAGCAAACTAAAGCATGGAGACATGAATGGATGGGGGGAGTTTGCTTTGAATGTTAAAAATGTATTAATAACCATTTTTTGTTTATGGTGCTCAGATACCTCTTTAAATTAAATTAAGTTCCTCTTTAAATTAAATGTTATTCACATACAAAAAGTAATAATCATAAATACATTGTTCTAATGAACAGTCTGGTATTCCTGCACTTTTGCCCAGTGTTATATGGGGGTTGTTTAGCTTAGTAGTAGATGTGTTTTGCTAAGTCCATGCCAGTCCAAACTGTAGTTAAAGCTTGAAACAAAATGAAATGTAATGCAAGTCAAGTTTACAGACATAGTTGACCACAAATGGGAATTTCACTATCAAAATGGTAACAAAAATGCCAAGCCGCCTGGCTTTCTCTTCAGCAGCATCGCTGCTCTTGTCAAAGTCTTACAGACCCAGCTTTCCCAACACTCCTGGCCTTTAGTTACAGAATCCAGCTGCATGGACCCACTCCCTGACCTCTCCGTATGGCATCTCTTCTGGCACCATGGACTCCCTACACAGAGACTCATAGATTCCCCCAGTTCCCTGGACCCACTTCATCACCTCAGCTCTACCAGTCCTCCAGACTCACTTAGCTGTCTCGACTCTCACAGTACTGTGGGTAAGGAATCTCTCCAACATGGAGTGCAGTCTCTGGAGTAGATCACCTTTCCTAATGGGAGTACACCTATCTCCTGGATGGCTTATACTGAGTGTTCACACCTGCACATTCACACAACCTGCATGCCCTTAATAAGACCTCTATGCAGGATTGGAGACTTCTTCCCATCCATATCACTTTGAAATCCCCAAGCTCCAGACCTAATCTGGGATTACCAAACCCAGAGAACACTGACAAGTCAGTCTTCTCCACCCGGAAACAATACTCCGGAGCCCCTGAAACTGTAACTTTGAGAATCCTGTGTGCCTTTTGCCTTTACTCATACAGTGGCAAGGGCTAGCATTGTCACACAAGGCAGAACTAGGCACCTGATTTGAGCTTTTGGTGGGTAGATTGTTCTCAAATTTAACAATATAGATTTTTGGCCAAATCTGAAAACTAATGAACTTTGCATTCAAACTGGGGGATCAAGATACTGTAAGTAAATGTATATACTAAAGCTGGACATACACATCTTTTGCTTAGCCTGAACAAAAGAAGTCTAACAGGTTCCTCCAGCCATGCTAACAAGCATGGTCTGTTGAATCTTTCCTGCTGGCTATTGTATTCTGACAGCTGGCAAGCTTTATTTGCAGCCATGCTACTATTTCCCCATTTAACCTGTGTTCAGCCAGCTGATATATATTGTGTGTGTATTTGAACTGTACATTTAATGAAGTTCTATGGTCACAGCACATACTTTTGTTTAATAACATCAGCATTGTAATAGCAATACAAACAATAGTTATTTACGAACAATGTAATAGAAATGTATGTACAAATATGGACAGAATATGCAGCCATGGACTTTGTGTTGACATATAGAAGAGAAACTGAGTACAGTAAAAACAACTTTATTATGTGCTATTAAAAATCTATTACCCAACATTAAAAAACAGGTTGGATTGATGTTAACTGAGTTGTTTCTAAGATACCTATCAAGAGCCCCCTCTTTGGAATATACACTCACAGGCCATTTTATTAGGTACACCTGTTCAACTGCTTGGTAACACAAGCTGCTAATCAGCCAATCACATGACAGCAACTCAATGCATTTAGGCATCTAGACACGGTAAAGATAACTTGCTGAAGTTCAAACCGAGCATCAGAATGGGGAAGAAAGGGGTTTGAAGTGACTTTGCATGTGGCATGGTTGTTGGTGCCAGACGGGCTGATCTGAGTATTTCAAAAACTGCTGATCTACTGGGACAACCGTCTCTAGGGTTTACCTCTGCACCTCTGGTCTGGGAAAGATCCAGTGAGCTGCAGTTGTGTGGACAAAAATGCCTTGTTGATGTCAGAGGTCAGAGGAGAATGGGCAGACTGGTTTGAGATGATAGAAAGGCAACAGTAACTCAAATAACCACTGATTACAACAAAGGTATGCAGAATACCATCTCTGAATGCACATGTCAAACTTTGAAGCAGATGGGCTAGAGCAGCAGAAGACCACACCAGGTGCCACTTCTGTTAGCTAAGAACAGAAAACAGAGGCTACAAATTGCACAGACTCACCAAATCTGGACAATAGAAGATTGGCAAAACGTTGTCTGGTCTGATGAGTATCGATTTCAGCTGCGTCATTCAGGCATGGATCCATCTTGCCTTGTATCAACAGTTCAGGCTGGTGGTGATGGTGTAATGGTGTGGGGGATATTTTCTTGGCATACTTTGGGGCCCCTTAGTACCAATTGAGCATCATTTAAATGCCATGGCCTACTTGAGTGTGGTTTCTGATCATGTCCATCCCTTTATGACTACAGTGTACCCATCTTCTGATGGCTACTTCCAGCAGGATAATGCACCATGTCACAAAGCTCAATCATCTCAAACTGGTTTCTTATAATGACAATGAGTTCATTATACTCCAATGGCCTCCACAGTCACCAGATCTCAATCCAATAGAGCACCTTTGGGATGTAATGGAATGGGAGATTCGCATCATGGATGTGCAGCCGACAAATCTGCAGCAAC